GCCCTATAAACCCTAAACCCTATTAATTATCAACCCTATAAACCCTATAAGCCCTATAAGCCCTAAACCCCATAAACCCTATAAACCCCTCCTAGGCCCCAGGCCCCAGGCCTTCAACTTTTCAGGTCCCGGGGGCCTCAAAAGCCCATGTTCCTGGGGCGCAAGGAACATGCTAGCGGTCGCCGTGCGTGATGCATCGATGCCTTTGCAGCAGTCAGGGGCGCCGAGTCGGGCACGTCCTTCGCCCTCTGCGGTGAAGACTCTCGCGGCCGACGAGTGCATCATTGTCCGGGCGGACGGCACATGTGTGCAAGGCAAAGTTGCCGTGTCTGGGCCGTGAAATATATTGAGTTGGTTTCGTCTACTTGTTTGGCGACGTCCAGCTTCTTCTTCTTCGCTCTTTTGCATTTGCCGCTTTGGTTGCACACGTGCCTTTTCTTGGCTTTCTTGCTTGCTGGCTGGCTGTCTTGCTCGCTCGTTTTTTCTATGTTTTGTTCATTCGTTGCCTGGTCTTGTGTTCATTCGTTGCCTGGTCTTTTCGTGTCTGGCGATCTGCGTGTTGCTGTGGCTAGCCGTCCCTGCGCTTGTTTTTTTCTCTTGCGTGTTTGGTTGTGTGTTGGTTGTTTCCTCGTTTTGTTTGGCTCCTCCTCCCTTGATTCCGTCGCAGTTGTGGTTGGCTCGTTAGTTCATCGTCTAGCCGAGTTGATGAGTCTCTTGAGTTACTTCTGGAACAGTCCCTGTTCTGTTTAGTCGCGAGCTTTGTCTGGAAAAAAGCTTGTCGAAGCTTGGTCGACTAAACTAATGTCTTGCTGTTTTGCCGCTTGCTGTAACGTGCATGTCTCCCTTGTTTGTTTGATTGTGTGCTCGAGAACCATGTTTTTGGTGCAAACATGCTGCCATTTCGTATGCGGTTGGATTGCATACGATCCGGTGCGTGATGTCATGGACGAGTTCGCTCGATCCCAAGCCTCCGATATGCAATACAGCGAGCAGCTGTCGTCCAATCGGTCAGGACTCAGGACTTTTGGCCAGACGAGTGAGGCCGAGAGTCCGCGCGACTGAGTCGGCCCGTAAACAGTGCATTTCCTCTCCAGATGGCTTCCGTCAAGGGCCGACAGCACGCACTCCAGGACCTGTCGTAATAAGCACAAAAACCCAGCAGTTGTGCGATCAAATCGCAGTTGCAGGAAACAGACGCAGTGCCTCGGTCCCGAGCTTCGCTTGCTGCTTGAATTAGCCCTGACGGTAGCTTTGCCATCGCTGCACACCGAGATCGCAGCAAGGCCGAACTAATGGTAGAACCTCCACGCCAAGTACATCTTGCCGGCTGAGACCTGGGCTTGAGGTGCTTCACTCACTAAACCATACATGGACTAAAGTGAAGACTTAATACCGAGAAAGATGCACGGGTAGCAGAGCGAAGCAACGAGCAACATGTTCCTTGCAATGAAATGTACGATAGGTACAGGTTCCTACAGTACAGCGACAAAAACACGCCCGACACGCATTTCCGTAGGTTGGCAACGAGTCTCACGGGAGCGCGTCCCGGCGCTCGTCTGACAAAAAAACCGCGCACTTTGTGGCGACAGGTTGCCTGCCTCTAGCGATGCTTTGATCTGCAGTGTTCACTGTTACATTGTGTTGGCACCGACTCCGAGTTTGAGTGCTCAAAGTCATAATTGCCTTAGAGCTTCCGAACAAAATGCGTGTTTGGGACGTCAGCACCATGACTACCCCGGAGCGTCGCTGTGCCTGGCACCGCTTTGCAGTTTCAGCTCGCATGCATACGCGCAGACCAGGTGTAGCGCTACCCGAGCCACTCGCCCGAAGACATCTGTGTCCTCAACGCCGTCGTGTCGCCCGCAGACTTCACAGGCTCTGTGTTGTCTTCACGTTGCGTAATGCTGCATGCGAAGAGATGTGTTGCCGGCAGGCCCCTTGCCCGTCAACATCATGCTCAGCCGGGCGGGGGTTCTGAATTCCCGCATGGCTGGCGGCAGCTCGGTGCGAATGTACGATAGCGCCTGATAGCGTGGCATCTGAGTTGAGGTGCGTGTATGTTTGTCTGCGTGTGAGAGTTTGGGGCGGTCTGCGCTTTGGATGTCTGAGGCGATATGGACGGGGATGAAAACTGCTGGTGTCCGTTGTTTAAGCAATGCTTGTTACAGTAAAGCTTGCCGAATCTGTGCGTGCAATCAGTGCATACCTAGGTCGGCTGGAGGACCTCATAGAGTTGGTCGCCCTTCGTGGACGCGAAGAACTTTGAGGATGGGTTATGGACTGGGTCATCCCGGGTCTGAATTCAATGCTCAATCTCTTAATGCAAGAGTGCTCAGCGTTTGACCTTGAAGGCCGTACGAAAAGCGGCGCTCGCCGGCCTCAAAGACCAAAAGCGGCGACGGCCTGGGACGCGTCCAAAGAGCGAAGCTTCTCAGTTGAATGTTAGCCCAGTTTGATTCTCGGTCCTTCGATTTGCTTGAGTCTGTTTCGACGCGGCTTGAGGTCAGGACTTTGTCGCCTTCATTGTCGGCCTCTACAATCCCCGTGTTCGGGGGATTCTGGCCAACACTTCTGGCCGTGCCACGGCCATGGCACTTCAAGATGGTGGCGAGTCTGCCATCAATGCGGCGCTCATTCTGTGCACGCTCGCGCATGCAGCATCTGGGCTGGGTTGAAGTGTTGAACGCCATACTGTTGCTACGCTGGAATATAGAGGCGTTCGTCAATCCACAGAAGAATGGGGTTTTGGGATCTTTGGGGACAGTGTTATAGAATCCGAGATGGAGAATCGATCAGAGAAGGACATAGAAGGACAATATCATTCTCACCCCAATGGTATGCGATATAAGCTTAATATATAGGAGCCTAAATCATGGCCAATACTACGTATGCTGAGGGGGTTCCTTATTATAAAATTATCATGATGGGCCCCAAAACCGTAGTCTAATTATATTTCTTGGAGGTTCATGGGTAGTTAATGGAAGTTATAAGTGGGCTTGTAAATCTCGTAATATGGGTTATAAGTATAGTTACCTACTTATAGCCCTACTTATAACTACCCATGAACCTCCAAGTACACCCTAAACCCCGCACCCTTATAGAATCCCTATAGATCCCTTTAAAGGGACCCTTAAAGGAGCCCCTGCGGATACGACTCGCCCGGCTCATGATGAGCTTGGGGTTTGGCTGGGCCGGAGCTCCTGTCACTCAAAAGGGGAAAAAGAGGGACCCTTAATGGGGACCCCTACCTTATAATGGGTTACATAATGGGTACATAATAGCTATATTAAAGGTATATACCTAGGGGTCCTTATTAGGGATCCCTCCTTTTCCCCTTTGAGTCAGGTTGCCGCGGCTTCGGCTGGAGCCGTCTTTGGTGTCCTTCAACACGCTGGCTTGGGCCCTGATTCATAGGAGGCCAAATAGGGTTGTAGCCTATACGGGTTTAGTAAGGATTAGGGTTCCCACAATGGGTTCATCTTAAGGAATACCTACCCCAAGAATCGTAAACCCCCTTTTTGGCCTCCCATCACTGATGTTTGGGACTGCAGCTAGCGGAACTTAAGTTGTGAGTCCTGAAGTAGTAGGGCTAAACCCGCGTAGCCAATAGCATGATAATCATGCTATGCGACTCGTGGGTTACATGGTTTATGTGTCTGATAGTTTTTGGGCTTTGTTTTTTGGGGAATGCTTTGGAGTGCTCGACGAAGATTATTTTGGTTTATTGCAGTGGTCAGATTAAGTGAGTCTAATCCGTCCCATCCCTCTGTATGACTCTAAAGCTCTATTCCCTTTTTTTCAGGCGTGCATGGCAACGGTTCGGGAGTTTAAAGGTTTAGCCCAAAGCCCTCAACTCCAAACCCTAAGTAGGTTTTATGTTGGGTACGGCCATACTCAGTAATAGTTGAATAGTCTTCATAGTATACATATATTAGGACTAGTATAGACTCTTACTCTATGGGGGGCAGTACCTAGGTTCTATGCGCTTGGAGTCTACGGTTTCGGTACAGGAGGTAAAGGATCTGGGCTTTCGGCCTTCAGCGCATGCTTTGTCCGAAACCAACCCGGGGATCCTCAAGAATGTGTTTATGTAATTTTGCAAGCAAAACGGTAAGAGGAACACTACAAAAGTGGTAATGGTAATAATCTAATGGTACTCACATTACCCGAAGAATGATGACAATGCGACGACGACGACGACTACGACTACTAACTACTGCTACTGCCGCTAGTACTACTGTTGATCATAGCAATAGTGATATTGGTAGTAGTTAGTAAATATATGCACTACAAACAGTAACTATATTAAACCTACTGATGACTGTCCTTCTAAGCAGACCCCAGGGAGGTCTGGGGCTCGGTTTGATGGTTTATGGTTGATGGCTTGGGGGTTGTAGGGTTTAGGGTTTAGGGTTTACGAGTGGCTTGGAGTTGTACGGTTTAGGGTTTGGGGTTGACGGTAGGCTGCATGATTCCGGGTCAGGGCAAAGTTTTGCTAAGCTTGACTTTTTCAGAAACGGGTTTGTAAAATTAGTTGGTATCCCCTTGTAGCCCCTTTAGATTTTCTTATTCTAGAACAGTATACCACGACATGACCCAAAGAACCCAGGTCTGCTTATCAAGGCCCCAATATGAGAAGAGTGCAGTGTTAGATGCCGGAGTAGGGATACCAGCATGGCGAGCGCGGAGGCTAAAGGGCTTGGAGCGACAATGCTAAGCTCTCGGGATTAGTGGTTTAGGGTTTGCGGGTTGGGGGGTTTAGTGTTTGGGGTTTGAGGGCTTGAGGGTTTTAGTATTTGGGGTTCAGGGTGTTTATAAAACCCTAAACCGTCGCCTAAGTCACGATGTTTAGCGGTAAACCAGCACTGACCTAGTGCTGGACGTGGGAGGCTTCTTCAGTTGCTGTCAGACATTTGTCTTTGTCGTGATGTTCTGCTCAAGTTTATTTTGCCTGATTGGAGATAGCATCTTCCCCTATGAAGATCAAGTGAGCTGCCTCCATGTGGTATAGCCCCATGCAGAAGCGCTGTGTGGTGCTTGCAAGCCTTCTGATCTGCAGCGCAGCATCGGACTCGCCGCGGTTTCTTCGAGGTTGCACGCCCGACAATATTTCGAGTTTAGGGTTTCAGGATCGTACACTACACCCTACCCTAAGGCTCCAAAGTAGTTCCTTTTTGGGGTTCATATATAGAATCCTATAAGGTAATCCCAAAAAGGAACTACTATGGAGCCTCTGGGTAAACGTTTGGGATCGAGTTATGGGTTTGTTGGGCAACGCATCAGGCACCCTGAACCGCAAGTTGCTTACCCAAGCTCCACGCCAATGTGATCTCAAAACCGATGTTCAATGTTCGCTTCTCCAAACGGTATACAGGTCATGTAAGGATCGAGGCGAGGACCATTCAACCGATGAGCATGGACACGATTTCGATATCGGTGCCGATGCAGGACACAGTGTGAAGTTGCTGAAGAAGAAGCTAGTGACGATGAAGACGATGATTGGTGAGCGTGTTGAGGATTCTTGTGATGGCGGTTATCATGATGGTGATTGAGGTGTTGATGGGTCTATCACAGTTGATGATGGTGATGGTGGCGGGCCAGGGAGAATATGATACTACGTCTGCTACTAATCATGTTATTGACGACGCCTGCTCTGCTACTCCTACTCCTACTCGTCCTGCTACGCGGATTCTTACGCCTACTCCTACTGCAGCTGCTACTGCTACTGCTACTGCTACTGCTACTGCTACTGCTACTGCTACTGCTACTGCTACTGCAGCTGCTACTGCTACTGCTACTGCTACTGCTACTGCTACTGCTACTGCTACTGCTACTGCTGCTGCTGCTGCTGCTCCTGCTACTGCTACTACTACTACTACTACTACTACTACTACTACTACTACTACTACTACTACTACTACTGCTACTGCTACTGCTACTGCTACTGCTACTGCTACTGCTACTGCTACTGCTACTGCTACTGCTACTGCTACTGCTCCTGCTGCTGCTGCTACTGCTGCTGCTGGTGCTACTACTACAACTACTACTACTACTACTACTACTACTACTACTACTACTACTACTACTAGTACTAGTACTAGTACTAGTACTATTACTACTACTACTACTACTACTACTACTACTACTACTACTACTACTACTACTACTACTAGTACCAGTACTAGTACTAGTACTAGTACTAGTACTAGTACTAGTACTAGTACTAGTACTAGTACTAGTACTAGTACTAGTACTACTTGTCGTGCTACTCTCCGCCTACTTCTGCTCCGGCTACTACTGACCTCCTGCTCCTGCTCCCGCTCTTGCACCTGCTCCTGCTCCTACTCCTGCTGCCAGTTTGTCTCCTTCTTTCGCTCTTGCTGTTCCAGTTGCATTTGCGAGCTCTCTTAACGTATTCATACACAGGGTCCTAAGCCACGACAACGGCTCTGCTGCCGCTGTCGTCCCCAAGGGCCAGGGCCCATGTAAAACTTAGGTCTAAAATTCCACTCGACCGCCAAGGACTCGTTCAGGTAAATGCCAGCAGTTCTCCGAAGAGTGCGAGGACCCGCAAGACTTGCGATCTGGGGCTTAATATAGGGGCCTAAATAATTACCAACACTATTTTTCGGGGGTCCCTACTATAACCCCAAAACCCTATTCTAAATATTAAGGTCCCTATATTACAGATGCTTCTTCAAGCTTCTTCGTACAACCCCCGCCCCCCTCCCCCCGCTGTTTTTATTTTCAAGGCTACACCGTATGCTTGGAGGGGCAGGGGACTTAGTAAGTAGGTTATAAGTAGGGTTATAATTGGGCACTTATAAACTTACTTATAACCTACTTACTAAGTCCCCTGCCCTTCCAAGTAGACTCGTAGATCCTCACCCCTCTCCTCCTAGTTGCAACCTAGGCCTCTAAACTCTGACATGGCAGCCCTGAAGGACCTTTTAAGCCTAAACCCCAAGCCCTAAACCCTACACCCTAAACCCTGAAGGACCCTCCAACAGAGAGTTCCTTCAAGTGACCGCCCCGTGACGCCAAGCTGCCTGCCGGGCTACATTGACGTCTCGGGTGGCCACTGTGACGTATTAGGGTTTAGAGTTTAGGGAAATGCTATAAACCCTAGACTCTATGTAAGCCGGTTCTCAGGATATGCTGGTTTCGGCATAAAACCAATGACTAAATCCTAATCATTTACTAAGCGTTTACTACTGTTCCGGAAAGCAAACATGCGGCTTACATGTGGGACTTCAAAACCTATGCTGAGGGGGGTTTCTGGGTTAATCCGGTGAGCCTTTTGCCTTGAGGGTTTGGGGGTTGAACCCATCAACCCTTTAAGTTCTCGAGCTCAGGGTTGACATTGTCAACCAGGATCTAGGGTTTATAACACCAAAACCTGACAGCCCCAAAAGCCATAGATCCGGAATCGAGGTCAGGCCTATCGTCGGGCCTGCGCCGCAGACTGCGCGGGGGCTCCCTACTACGGCCTTGAAAGCTGCGCCTGTGCCTGCGTTCTCCCGGAGGAGGTGGACCCCGCGGAGTCGCTCAAATGAAGTTAATACCCAGACCCCCGGGAGGATCATGGGACTTAATTAGTAGGGTTCCTCAAGGGGCTCCTTTAAGGGATCCTTCAGGGTTTAGGGCTTAGGGATCTATAAGGGGAAGTAGATCCCTTAATTTGGGCCCTAAACTACTAAGGGTACTTAATTAGACTTAATTGGAACCCCCATTAAGGGATCTACTTTTTGGATCCTTCCGGGGGTCTGGGTATGGGAGTTTTCCAACAATCAGGGCTACCTTTATTTGGGGTCCTTCATAATAAGGCTCCTTGTACTTAGGGACTATATTTGGGTCCCCTATTTTTCGGAAACCACCCAAATAGGAGGCGGAAATAATACAAGTACTAAGGTTGGAAAAATGTTTTCTAAAGGTATGTCTGAAGTTAGAAGTCGAAGCAGTTGAGGGTTTAGGGCTGAGGGCTTCAAGGTCAAAGGCCTCAGGTTCGAGGGGCTGGAAAGCTTAAGGCTTGAAAGTTTTGGCCTGAGGGGTTTTATGCTTAGGGCTTCGGCTTTGAAGATTTAGGGTTCAAAGTGTTTCGGGTTTAGGGTTCAAGGTGTTGGATGGTTTGAGGTTCGACGTGGCGTTTAAAGGTTTAGGGGCTGAGCTTTACTTACCTTTGGTTAGTAGGGACTGGAGGAATGGGGTACAATTAGAACTACTATTACTGCCATTCCTCCCTTCCCTACTAACCAAAGGTAAGTTTAGGGCTATTTGGGCTTAAAGTTTGGAGTTTGGGCTTCGCAAGGCTTACAGCTTCGATGCTTCAGGGTTGGTTTTCGGGGCTTTAGCGGGTTTAGGGTTCATGGTACAGGGTTTAGGGTATAGGGTCTAGGGTATGAGGGTTTAGGGTTTGGAATTCAGGCTTTTAAGGTTTAGGGTTTTGTGGCAATGTCGTGCTGTGTTTTGCTTGGTCCTACAGCCAGCCGAACACCCCACTAAAGCTCCCTCTGCGGGCATCGGAATTCCGCCGATTCAGAAGATATCTGGCCTGAGGCTTTCCTCCACACCGAAGCCGGCCATTGTGGAAGCTTGCCTGGGGTCCAGGGTTTAGGGACAAGATGGGACAAGGTTCTGGGGTTCTTGGGTTTGGGCTTAGAGCATGCAGGGAGCAAGGCGCAGAGTCTGGCCGAGGGCTTCAACTATGGTGAGGGTCTCGGAGAGCGTTTTCCGGCTTGGTTCGTTCTTGATTCCTTCTTTTGGGATTTACTCGCGGCACTCCCGAAACCAACTTTTTTCAACGGGTATTGATTGTGCTGTCCTGATATTCAGTCTTTCGCGCTACAGGTACTGCAGAGGTCGGGATAGTTAGTCATTAAAACGTAGTATCGTTTTTGGATTAGGGTTTAGGATGTATAGCGTTTAAGGTGTAGGGCCTTGGTATTTGTCTTTCGTGCTTCTTTTGTTATTGGCTTGCCCTACGAATACGAAAATGTGCCTGAGCCAGAAGTTTTGGTGATCCCACATGCAGGTTTGAGCTTAGCGGAGATCAGAGGAGAACGATGAGCAATGTGCGCTTGTAGTCGTACGCTCTGCAGTCAAAGGAGTGCCCTGCGTCGATTCCCGTAGCCAGTCGTACGATAGCCTGTCCCAAGTAGCCTTCCAACCCTTAACCCTATAAGCATTTGCACGAGGGAAGCGTCACAGAGCGTGCTACGGAAGTGATGATGATCGTCGTGGGCTTCTTCTCCATATGCTGCGTCGTCGGAGCACTTTGGCGGGTTTAATGTTTTGCAAACCTCAGCCTCTAACCTGCTCGCCTGAACTCCACAATCAATCCCCGCTCCCCCACCCCTACCCCCACCCCCCTGCGTTTGTAGAGGCCCTGATGCCTTTAACCTTGGTCATGGGTACGACAACACTTATCTAGGGCTGAAGGAACCACCAACCCTCTCAAGGGGAAACTGGACTTGACGCTTTCGTTATGAGAGATTGGGTGGTTCGGGTTTAAGGCTTAGGATTTAGGGTCTACTTGGTCCAGAAAGCATCGCCCTCCAAGTAGTCTTCAAAGGATTCTCAGACGAAAAGCAAGATGAAGAGCCCCTGATCTCAGGTTTCAGTGTTTCCCTGAAGCCTCAAGCTTCTACCGCCCTTTCCCCAGACCATGTATCCTGAACCCTGCGAAAGGTTGAGATCAGAGCTTCAAAGCCCTCAGGATTTAGGGTTTATAGGGTTTGGGGTTTGGGGTTTAGGATTCGAAGCTTGTACCTCAGACCTGATCTCACGCCCCCCGAACTCTCTCCTAAGCTCCAGGCCCTGCATCCCAACAAGTTCGAGTTTGCTTCACCTAATCCCATCCTTACGCTGCGCACACTGAGCCCCACCCATCAGATGCCCCCAAACCTTAAACCCTACCTGGCAACCTTTTCTTCGTAGCTGAACCCTCTATCCCAAAGCAGGTTGGTTCTTTAGGGCCCAGCCGAATCCTCTCAAGCCTTGCATTGAGGCTTTCGGGACCCTGATTTCTTGTGCTTTTCATCACGGCTTCCAGAGTTCGACAGTGGCTGACGGGCCCGTTCTGTCTATGGAAGCCTGTGTGGACCATTGTCCACAGCCGGAGGTGCTTCGACTGCAATGGCGGGTTTAGGGTTGATGGCCAATGCCAGGGAGTGTAGGGTTGAGGTGAGGGTGTCGGGTTTCGAGTTTAGCATCACGGTGTTCTAAATTGTGCTGCCGCTTCCGGTACCTAGCCCTAAACCCTAAAGCCTAAAGGTACCTAAAGTATTTAAACGAGAATTGAGCACAAGCCCAGAGACGGCTAGCAAAACGAGCAGTATCCGTTTTGGGCGCCCATTCTAAAATGATGAGCTCAGTACGTGATGGGCCCGAAAAGGAGCCGCATGTCTGTCAGCTACCCATCTTCAGCAGGACTTCAGTATGACAGTCTGCTATGCCCCAGAGGAACCCTACGAATCCCTAAACCGTGCTCATGATGGGTTACTATAGTGGCCGTATAAAAAATTACCCACATTTGAGGGGTTGCTTATTATAAATATCGTATAATGGGCCCCAAAGCCCAAAACCCTCTTCTAATAATGAAGGCCCCGACATTAGGTACTCGAGCTGGTTGTGTCCGAGGGCTCCAATCGAAGGCTCCCCCGAACTCGGGATTCCGATAGCACTTGCAGTCCCAGACCTCCGGGAGGATCCGAAAAGTAGATCCCTTAATGGGGGTTCCTATGAAGTACCCTTAGCAGTATAAGGCCCCAAATTAGGGGATCTACTTTCCCTTATAGATCCCTAAACCCTAAACCCTAAAGGATCCCTTAAAGGAGCCCTTTCAGGAACCCTGCTACGTCCCATGATCCTCCCAGAGGTCTGGGGTTGGGAAGGGGAAGATCGGATCGAGACAGCTCAAGATCCCTGAGTCTAGGGGTTTACCCATCGGCTCCATAGTAGTTCCTTGTTAGGGTTCATAGTTGGGGCCCTAGAAGGCAATCCCAAAAGGGAACTACTGCACTATGGAGCCTATGAGTAGGGTATAATGGTAGATTCTGCCAGGTTGAAAGCCCAGATGGTTTCCGAAAAGTTAGAGGACCGTTACACACATAAAGCCGAATCTTTAGCAGCGTCCCCAAAGTGAGGCGCCTAAACCTTGAAATCTAAAGCCTAAAATTTAACCTTAACACATAAGCCCCTATTCCTAAGCCCAAGTCCCTAGCCGCTAGCCCGGAAGCACTAGATCCTAAACCCTAAACCTTGTAAAACAGCCGAAAGCACCTGCAGCTGATGGCACAAAAGGCTCGGCGACCTCCCCCGACACCTTTGGACCTGGACCTTTGGCTTATTGCAAGGGGTCCAAAGGACCCAGTAATCAGGTACTCGGTTTTAGGATAGTAGTTATGTAGGTTAGGATTTGTGGAGAGTGGTGCTTGGACCCTTGGGGCTACACACCCTAGTTAGAGGGGTTTCTTTAGTGCTCTTAGAAATCAAGTTTCATGTTTGTTGTAACAAGTTCCAAGGATTACTCACTTTTGTTGTTGGGATTTTGGTTCTCAGTGCGCTTATGGTTTAGGGGCTAGGCTTTAGGGCTTAGAAGGGTTTAGGGCTCAGGCTTCGTGGTTTCGGACTTTAGTCTTTAGTCTGTTGTATGGTTGAGATCAGCTTGAATTAGGCTTTGTCATAGTTGGGTAAAACTTTACATTTTTATGGGTAGTTAAAGCATCCTATCCCAACCATGAGCTAGTAGGAGGGATGCAGAAGCCAGCCAAGGAACGCTTCAAGAGCCCGAACCTGGAGATACTGCGCAGGTTAAGTGACGCGCCTGCCAAGGTCCCTTGGCAGGGCGACACGGTTTATATGAGTTGCTCGAGACTTGAGACTTATACCAGGTCTTTCTGGAAAGACTTTTTTTGTTAAAATAAGTGTCGGATTCTATCAAAAGGCCTGAACGCTAAGCCCCCCACGCCCTGAACCCTAAAACCCCTGAGCCCTGCATCCTAGATCCAAAGCCTTATAAACAAAGCCCAAAACCCTAAACCCTATTGTAACCCATATAGTACACCTTATAGTAACCACGAAGGAGTACTTCAGATTCCTCCGCAGAGCTACAGGTGTCAAAGGCCTCGTTTTTTTCCCGATCCCTCGTCGTGAAGTTTGGACGCAAACCCGGGAACCAACATTGCCTTCCCTAAGGGTCCATGTACCCAAATAGTATATTCATTGGCCTTAAAGTACTCCCTATATGGGTACATTGGGCCCAAAGTATATACTATTTGGGTACATGGACCCTTAGGGCTTCCCAGACCCTGCCACACCGCCAATGCCAACTTGTCGTGAGAGTCCTTCAACAAAGCATGAAAGAACCTACTCACAACGTCCTCTTCGGCTCCGTCTTCTAACCCGTAAACCCTGACCCCTAAACCCTAAGCCTGAAACCCTAACAGCCTTAACCCCTACCTGTGGCCCCAAACCCTATAAAATAGTAGGTTATGACCCCTTAGTTATGGGGTCTAACCCTTAAAACGGTAGGTTTTTGGATCAACCCCTAGCCTCTGGCCTAACAGGCACCGATCTACGGCCTGTCGGTGGAGCCGCCAGGGCTGCCCGAATCGCCGGAGAGTGGAGGATGGACCTGACAGAATGCCTTGGTCTTGCTTCGAGTGTTGGGTGGTTGTCAAAATTATGGTCCCTTTGTGGGTACCCTAAATAATAGGTGCCGTATTATAATAAGGACCCAAAGAGGGACTCTAATTTTGACAACCGCCCTGTTATCGAAGCTTTTTCAAACGCCCCTGTCCGCCCCAAGACCCTCTGCCCTCTGCACTCAGCCACGGATCATCAAAAACCAAACTTCCAAAGCCAACACCACCCTGAATGAGGACGTCGACGGAACGTGTCCTAATAGAGTTTAAGGGTTTTGCGGTTTTGGGTTTTGGGGCTCCGGGTTTCGAAATTAGTAGGGCTTTCTGGCTTCTGGACTAGGGCTTGGGGAGCACTGCTATGTGCAAAGCAGCTGCAAAACCTGAAATTAACCTATCAGGTACTTGTAGCTCCTCGGCTAGTGCAACTTGCGGTTGAGGGTGCAGGGATTCAAGATCAAGCCTGAAGCACTGCCTGGGTAGTTTGCATTCGTTTTGTTGGGTTTGGAGGGTTGCTGAGTTTGAGGGGTTCTGGGGTTGGGAGTTTGGGTTTGGGAACTTGGGGCCAAAGGTAAAGTAAAGGGTGTGCAGGCTCTTTGGGGCTTTGGGCTTGGGGCTCCGCGCATAAAGATTGCAGGAGTCCGGGCAGTTGTGAGACGGAGTAAAAACCGTGAAAAGCCAAAGCACCCGAACCCTAACTGAAGCCTCGTCCAGCAGTGGCCGAGTTCCGAAAGCTTACCGCACCAAGCGCAGCAACTGCAAAACGTCAGATTAACATGCGAGGTAGCCTTCTGGGCTAGTGCGTGTTTTTGAGCGCAACGATCAGGGCAAGCAGCATACAAGATTTGGAGGGCTTGTCAAATCTGACGAAGGGCTGGGGCCTCAAAATAGGAATTGGGGGCCACCCATTTTATAGAGCCGTACCTCTGCTACCCAAGGATTCCCCGGGCCGGACCGTGTTTCTCTATAAAATGAGGGGTCCCTACTCCCGGCCAGAATGTGAGGGGGGATGATAATGTCACAAGTTGACAGTCAGGCAGTAGGTCAGTAGGGGTTGGGGTCAGGGATTCAAACTCGAGTGCAATGTGAGGCGGGCTCTCTGCTTTTCCGAAACCTTACCCTAATGCCTCCAGGGACCTTATTATGGGGTCCTTAAGGGGTCCAGGGCCCTAACTATGGGGCCCTTGGAGGGATAGGGTTACCCTAAACTCAAACCCCTTGAAACCTCAACAACCAAACCTGGAATCCTGATGCCCTTGAGATCGGCGGCTGTCGATGCGAAGACACAGTCACACTCCGATCAGCACGCCGATGAATATCACGATCGTCGTGCTTTGGCTGCGCTTTTGAAGCCTAGAGCCGAGAGCTTGGCCCCTGGAGTTTCGAGAATTCTTTAGCCCTAAACTTATCTAATTTTCAGACAGAGTTTAGTCCGTAGGGATTTGGGCGTAGCGTTTTCGAGTCTTCAGCTTGTGCGACTTTTTGACTGCGGGAGTTGTCTTCTTAAGCCTGCCCTTGTCGCTTCAAGTGTTTAAACTTCTCTGAAGCTTGGTACCATCGCTGTTCAAGATCTAATGGCGGAGCATCAAGACCTTCCAGCTGAATTACGTTTTGCACTAAACTCACAACAGTCTAAGCCAACAAAAGCACCAATCCTTAAGGCCCTAAACCCTGAGCCCTAGCCCCTTAAACTCGCAAACCCTGCTCCTCAACCTGGAGCCGCTAAGCCCGAATATGAAACTAGACAGAATAGAGTATACGGTGCTACAATATAAGAATTACCCTAATTTTACATAATGCATATTAAGCTGTAGTGTAGCTACATGTAATATACAGATATATATACATATATATATATATATATATATATATAACATGCTCTGATATGGCGTAATCCAATATAATGTACTGTGGTAAGATTCGATGCAATAGAACATCGACTAGTATTGAACAATATGCTGCAATAAACTAACATAATATTGGACGTACTGTACTAATAAAACACGACATGACGTAATGTAATATGATGTACTCTAATATAAGATAAAATATCAAGATAACATAATAACATCGTATGTAACATGTGTACCACCTAATCAAACAAAACATTCTATAATGCACTATACTACAATATACTTTAACCTAGCATAATAGAAAAAGTGGATTGCAGTTCTACCCGTGTACAGACCATTTAGAGTTATAGTATACTGTGATAGAAAGGCCCTGTTCCCAGTCTTACGGTCCCTCTAGTAGCCTCCAACACCTCTCAAAAAACATTTTATGAAGACGTTATGAACATTCGTTCCACTCTGAACCCTAGAACTCTAAACCCCAAACCCCTCGAACTCTCAAGGCCCTAAACCCTAAACCTTAAGGCCTAAACCACTATGAAGTAGCTACCGCAGGCGCCTCCACAGCAACTCACGACGCCGCGAGCTGGCGCAGGGCGAAAGGCCAGGACTGCCGGGCGGACTGTAAATTTCAAGAGTTCAATGGGGATACTTTTAGGGACCTTTATGCGGTTTACAGGATCCTGGTCCTGGGAGGTTTTACGCGGACGTTAGGATTTCGAGGGTCCTGGGGTGTCGGGGTCTATACAGTTCCTTTAAAAGGATCTAGAGGGGTTTAGGGTTCCTTTAAAGGGATCTATACCTTTGGTTAGTAGGGAATGGAGGAATGGGGTACAATTATAACTACTATTACTAGGCTCGCAGGCCAGAGTGGAGCGCCTCAGAGCTTGGGAGCTGAAGCTGAAGCTGCAGATTCGTGAGGGTTTTGTCAGACTTTACAAGGTTTGGGGTTAGGGTTTAGGGGTTTAGGGGTGTAGGTTTAGAGGTTTCGGGTTTAGGAGCTTGGGGGTTTAGGGTTTAGGGTCCTCCTAAACATCATGGTGCCAGTGCAGCTCCACAAGCAGTGAAAGGAGCACACATCATCATGTACATACTGAAGATAAGGAGACAGACGACCACGACGACCGTGACCGCTACCACGAGCACGTACGTCGCTTAAACCGCTGTGCAAACAAGGAGCAGTATGGATGCATGGAGGGAAGCACACCTTGTGAGATTGAACGCCCGGGGGCGAAGCAGCTAACAGTATGCAGGAACACGGACCATCTTTCTCTGAGAAACTGTAGACATCATCATCATCATCCTCATCATCATCTCTCAGCAGAATCGCGTGCTGCTTGAGGCTGCCATGTCATGTTTGTCATTATCCCGACCCCTCCCCGTAGAAAACGGAGTTGGTAAGGGGGGGCAGCCCACCACCAGCAGGGGACCTCAAACCCTAGACACAATCTGCTAAAGCTTTTCACACAAACCCGGCAGCCTCACAAACCCGATATAGGTACCAGCCCGAAGCCCTACACCCTACAAGCCCAAAGCCCAACCCCTAACAGCCGAAGCCCCAGACCTAAAACTTCACAAGCCCTAACCCACAGTCTGAAACCCCGAACCTGGTATCCCGATATCCCAAACCAGAACCCTGAGGTGTCCATCGGGTCTAACGCCTCCGTGACCACGCACATGAGCGAGATTGACGCCTTGGCTACCGCACGCCGCTTGAGCCAGGCTGTGGGACTTTCGGGTTCCTTACTATATCTTTATCTATCTATATATATATATATGTAGAGTATGATGTACCCAAAAACCCTATCATTATGAGAACCCTATTCCAGTTCCTACGGCCCCAAAACCCCCCAACCCCGAAACCCCTTGTAGTACTCTTACAGATCCCTTACAGAACCCTCAATGAAACCTCTTGAGCCCTGTATACCCAAAGCCTAAAATTGAAAGGAACCCTCCAAACCGGGCCCCCACCTCTAAACCTTGATGAAACCCTTTACAAGAAACGGTTGCACACTGAGCCCTAGACCCTGAACCCCTAGCCCCTAAACCCTAAACCCGTAAACCCCAAAACTAGCCTAAACCCTAAACCCCTAGCCCCTAAACCCTAAACTCGTAAACCCCAAAACTAGCCTAAACCCTAAACCCCTAAACTAGACTAAACCCTAAATCCTGAACCCCTAAACCACTATCCCCTAAATTCAACGGAACCCCCCCCCCAAAACGGGCCCCACCCTCCACGGAGGCCTCGCGCAGCTCGCCCAGCTCCTCGGAGCAGACGCTCGTCGAGCCTCTGCCGGGCCCTCTCCCGAGCTGCGGTCGGAGGAGGAGTGCGCCGCCCCTGGGTCTGATCTTTTCCGAAACTCTCTGAACCCTAAGGCCCTAATAACAGGGTCTTGGGTTTAGGGTGACTTTAGGGGTGCTCCGGCTTCAAGTTTCACTGTTTTCAGGATTGGGGTTTGGTAGCTTAGGTTTCTCTTTCCCACAGGATCTGAAGTTCAAGGGTTGAGGGTTTGGGGATTCGGGATTAGGGGTGTAGAGTTTATGATTTCGGGTTAGGGGTGTGGAGTAGGGTTGAGGGTGGGTTCTGGGGAGTGTACTGGAGTTCCAGAGTATTTGTGTATTTTCAGGGGATTTACAGGGTTGTCCAGGGGTTCGTGAAGAATTGAAGTTTGTTCATGCTTGTTTTGGGGGTCTTAAATAGCTTAATCAAAGGTTTTGCCAGCGTGTTTTGAAGGATTTAATCAGCGGGCTGTACAGGATCTTAAGGGTTTCTGTTCGGCTTTCTGTGTATATCATGGGACCGTTCAGGGTTTATTGGGGTTTTCTAGGGTTCTATCCGGTTCTTTCCTAGGACCCAGAGTAGGCCCTTATTGTGTTTTTGAGGGTTTAGGTTCCCTTATAACCCCCTTCAAACCAAAAGGGGCGCCCTTTTTATTTCTAGGTTGCTCTTAGGTCCTGGACGGTTGCATCAACTGGAATCTTGCAGATTTTAGGGGTTTCAAGGTTTAGGTTTGAGGGATCTTCGGTTTAGGATTGATGTTTTAAGTTAAAGTACGGGCAGGCTACAATTTTGGGGGGATTCTAAAACGGTTCGCAAGGGAAAGGGCTGTATATCCAAGGGTAAAAGGAGGGACCCTTAATAAGGACCCCTAGGTATATACCCTTACATAATATAGCTATTATATACCCATTATATTGCCCGGGTCCCTCCTTTTCCCCTTTGAGTATAAGGGTCCTGAGGATTCGCGAGCTTTTAGGGGATTCCTGGGGTGTTGTAACGGGTTTGTAGGGTTTATATACATATATACATATATATGTTATGATGAATATAAACGAATATCAGTAAACTCATAAATTGTTTTTCATGTGTACATATACATGCATATGTTATTTACGCCTGTTCTGTAATATTTCGCCGTGTCCTTGGACAGCGCGTTCTACATATGCCCACTAATCTGTTGAAGCTATTGCCAACACCTGGGTTCCGGGGTTTAGGGCTTATTCTTTCAATTTGGGGCTTGTTATCCTAAACCCCAAACTCCTAAACCGGTTGAATCATATCTGAACTCCAATGCCGCAATAGCATTCAGTGCTCGTTTCTTTTTAGAGAAGGTGGAAGCCTGGCTTGTGCCTATGCAGGCGTGTCATATACACATCTACATACACACATTCATGTACGATCATGTTTTTGCATGTCTGCCTTGGCTGTCTATCTGTTTGTCTGTATGTACGTACGTAAGTGCGTAGGTACGCAGGTATGTGCGCATGTACATACATAATCACAAGCGAGCACGTTTGTGATGTATGCATTTGTGAATTCGTGCTTGCATCCGTGCATGTATGGAGGGATGGAAGGAAGGATGGAATCATGGCTGTTGGCTTGATGGATAGATGGATGGATGGATGGCGTGCACCCTTAGCGTGAACCCAAAAACATATGAGCTCGGCTTCTGGGCCAAGGTCCCTCCTAGATGCCGGCAGAAGACCTGAAGAGCAGGCAGCGCAGAGGAAGATTTCACGGGTCAGTGCCATGTAGCCGCCCTTGGCCTCGACAAAAACATACAAGAGGTGGAGCATCCTATGGTCCCGGTCTAACCTGCATCTAAGCCCGAAACCCCTAAACTCTGAACCCTAATCCCTAAACCCCTAAACCCCTAAACCGGAAACACCCTAAACCCCTAAATCCTAAACCCGAATCCCGGGTCCTAGCTCTGAAGACCAAACCCCGGACCTCGCAACCAAAAGACCAGAGGATTGCCCAGAAAAGGATTCTCCGACAATTTTGTTGAAAGAACCCCCTCGGGCCCCTTCGTGGAGATGCCTGCTGTGGACACTTCTTTATCGCCACTTTAAGTGAAATGAACGGAATTGCCGTTCTTGATAATTCGGGTTTTAGGCTGCTCTGCAGGTTGCTACGGTTGATGATATAAATCCTGCATTACCCATAATAAGGAATATACCATAATTCCCATAGTTTAGGGTCCTTAATTAAGGTAATGCAGGATTGTATATATCATCAACCGCAGGACCCATCTCCATCAGTTCAGGAGATGGGTGCCGGTTCGCTCTCAGTTTCCGGACTCGGACGGCATGTGAACGGATGTAGCAGAGAGCGAGTTCGAGTGTTCCAAACGGCCACAGCGAAACATACAGTATTGCAATGTACCCCCTGTGCTCCTGGCTCTAGCCTCCGTCCATTCGTTGGACTGAGTGCGAACGTTTGCAAAAGCGGGCTCCAAATTGTGCGAAACGTTTTGGCCCCCGTTCAGTCAGTGATCGCGGCACCTCGACATGCAAATTGCAGTGCCTCGTGCCAATCCTGACGTGATGCTAGCGACGTGCATTGATTGCGACATCTCGACTTGCGAACTGCAGTGCGTGTTTGCAATCCTCACGACGTAGCTGAGTTCTCTGGCCTGCTAGGCTTGGATTTGTCTTTGGACGGTGCGCGAAGACCTCCGGCGGGGAGGGACCGAGTTTGACAGTGTGGGACCTCCAGCCGCTCCTGTCTTTTAATCGCCACCGCAGCAACTTGCAACAAGTCTTTGAGCCAATCTTAAGGTGTTCAAGAACTTGAAGCCCGATCCTAAACGTCATGCGACCGGTATCCCCACATCCCCAATCGCAGCCCCGAGCCGCTGCTCCTTACCCCTAAACCTACTGAATCTCGAACCCTGAAACACAACAAAGACGTTGAACCCAACCGTAAGCCTGGCCCAGAAGACACCGGCGTCACAGCGACTCCCAGGTTTCCATATAAAGAGTGCCTCTCCTTTGCAGACAGGCTTCATGATGCAGGGAAATAGTAGTGGATGGCAGTAGTCGTCGTAGTAGTAGTTAGTAGCAATAGTCGTAGTGGTAGTGGTAGGCGTAGCCGAGCTCGTAGTCGTAGTCGTCGTCGCAGCCGTAACAGCCACGTCCGAGTCAATTGAGTCGAAAGTAAGAGTGTTATGGCGTGCACCTATGAGCAGACAGAAGTATTATTGAAAAGACATTGCTTCGAACGGAAGTCGGTGCTGTAGCTGCTAGACAAGGAAGGAACCACTCCAGACAAAGGAGCAAGTGTTGTAAAGACGCTACGGCCTGTGATAAGTAGCACCCGTAATGACAACAAGAGGTTCACCTTAGCTGCAACCACCACCGCCACAATCACAAAACCCACCCCTGCCACCCGGGCTACTCCCACCACCACCCACCAGCAGCACCGCCGCCGCCGCCACCACCACCACCACCATCAACTCGTCCTTCCACCACTGGCAAAAACAGAAATGGTCACAGCCTGTACTGAGACTCATCGCAAACACAACCGGAATGATAGCAAGAGCAAAACGGTCACAATATTCCAACCTGACAGGGATAAACCTGATATTTGGCAGTGCCAGTACCTGTATCCGTGTAAACCCTAAACCCTAAACCCTAAACCCTAAACAATTTGTCCGTTGGGTCCGGCGAGCATCTGCATGCCCGTCTGCATCTGGCGATAGCCAGTTTTGAGGTACTTCTAGTTTAGGGTTTAGGGTTTAGGGTTTAGGGGTTTAGGGTTTAGGGTTTGTTATGCTACGAGCAACTGGCAAAAACCAGTTTGGAGCTTGTCCGTGTCGACGATTCCTGTCGGCGATCTGCCGATTGGAGGCCGTAACAGTTCCCGAACACGCCTCCATATCGTCAGAAAAACAACCGGTGGCTATGTGCTTGGAATCTTGAAAGCTCGGTTATATTGTTAAGAAGCATGCCTGGGGTCAGGTGCTCTCACATTGAGATTGTTCAATGCCTCCAAAAACGAGACCCTCAACTCAACAACCCCTTCATCCTACCAAGCCCCGGACTCTGATGCCCAAATATACAGTAGAAGCCAGAAAGTTGGAATATGATTATCCTAACCCCTTTAAGGTAAATTTTAGGGGATCCTACCATTGATCCATATTCCAACTTTCTGGAGTTCCCTTTAAGTTCTTGGCCTTGGATCTCACGGCCTGTTTACATTCATTTGGCTTATGTCTCGGTAGTGTAGTGCGGTTCGCAAAGGACTCCTAGGGCCGAGGGCTAAGAGAGTTGCATACTAGTGTTCGTATACGGGGTCTACATTGGCAACTTCGAGAGATCAGAGATCATGAACTATGACAGTGATTTGTTCACTTCTATTTCCCCGTACCTGGCCGGTACCTGTAACCGAATCACATACACTAGACATCATTAGTAGTAACATTGTTGTTATTACTACTCTTGCTATTATTGTTACCGTTGTTACTACGACGACGACTACTACTACTGGTATTCTGCAAGTAAACACTTCCAGCCCCAGTTCACCATGCAGGGTTTAGTGTTGAGAGTACCAGTGAGAACACTCCAACGGTCAAAACCCTGTCAAACCCAAGCCTAAGGCCTCAAGCTGCGAGCCTAAAGTCCTGAAGTCCTCAACCCCTGAAGCTCTAAACCCTAAACCCTAATCTCTAAACCTGATGTAGGAACCTGATGAGGGAACAGCCTAAAAGTTGGAAACCCAATAGCTTCAATCCTTAAGAGCCAAGAGCAAGGAATCCCAGCACTATTTGGCCTTCATCCGGTTTCCAACTTTATGGGGTTTACTGCAAGGTTTAGGGTTTAGGATTTAAGGGCTGAGGGTTTAGGATTCGAGGGTTTAGGTTTTACGGGTTTAGGGTTCAGGCATGTGCTAACACCGGCTGAATCGGAAGCAGGAAAATCAATAAGCTGAACCATGGCTAAGAGAGCTCCCGAGCAACCCCCCCCTAATATAGGGCCCCAAATAGTTACCAATACTATTTTGGGGGTTCCTTGTTAGACTTATCGCTAATATTGTATACTAATATTCTATACACCAAAACCCTAGTCTAGTTACTAGGGCCCCCTATATAGATCCCTTATAGGACCCTTAAAGGAGCCCTTATAATCCCCTTAAAAAGGAACCCTATTCTAATTTTCAAGTCCCCTATATTAGGCCAACGGCTGCCGCGACTTCTGGGCGCTGTCACTCCATTTGGCGCGGCATGCCACGGAGGTTCTCCGAGATTCTCGGGGTTGGGTTTCGGGCTTAGTGTTTAGGGTTTGCGCTAAGGGTTTAGGAATTAGGGTTTAGGGTTTGGGGTTTAGGGCTTAACAGCTGACAGTACCGAAGAAGCAGTTGCCACAACCTGCTGATCAAGCTTGAACTCTGTCAAGTGGCCCTGAGCATTCCAAATATCACATGAGTAGCAATCTAAATTAGGGTCCGTGGTTTAAGGGTCCTTTTCTTTTTTTCGGGCTGCCGTATTATGTTTGGGACCAAAAAATGATTTAGCAACTACCCATATCCACCCACAGCCTCTGGAGCCTGTGGCCAGACCTGTCCCTCTTCCCAACACTGCTATTCGCGAGCTCTTCAAGCCAAGACCCTCATCTTCCGTAACTGTAGCCCCCGGACCAAGAAGGAAGCCGGAGCCTCACCTTCACGTCGTTGAACACACCCTTCCCTTGAGCCCTAAACCTTACTTTAATTAAGTCCGACCCCGGATGCCGGAGCCGCTATTCCCAGACCTTTGAAGACCTCAGCCCTACGCCCCCCGAACTCCTTCAGCCCCTCAACCCAAAGCACGTACACAAAAGCCCCCTCCACCTCCCAAAAAAGAATGTTATTTTTCGCTCCGTGGTCTTCAGATGTAGTGTACTATTATATATACATTGCTTAATATGCTTCACTATCTTGTACAATAATGTACTATATAGTGTAGTATAGTCTGTTATATCGAGTTAAAATGCACTATAGTCTACTATTCTACCAAAACGCACCATGATGTTTTGTAATACTCTGATGCTGCGAGGCGGATTGCCGGACCTTGCGTGCTGTGGCCTACACGAGCGATGCTGCACAGGCTTGTTCATGGCTTCATGGGTCATATGTATATACATACATATATATATATATACACATACAGATTCACACACATAAATATCTGTTAGTTCTGTTAACTGCATTTATACATATACATATACATGTTTGTGTGTATGTTAATTTGTTTGTTTGTCTGGTTGTCTTTATTTAGTATATGATTTTTTGTCGCAAAGTGTCCATCCCCACTCCGAAAGTATCTAGTAGATGAGCACATGGATCTTGAGGGTTGTTATCAACTTGGAGTTTGGGGTGTCATGGTGCGGGAAACGACTACTACAGGGGCACCGGGTCGTTCGGGGGTTGGCATTTAGGGCTTGGGCTTCTCCCGTGACTGTTCCTGCCTTTCGGAGGTTGCGCATTCAGAACGTCCTTGGGTTGACTGCTCAAAACAAGCCGAGACCCCAACCCTGCCACCCGAGCATAAACTCTTCAGGACAGCCTCCTTGCAAAGAACGGTGTTAGCGGTAAGCCCTGAACCCCAAACCCTAAGGTAAACCCTAAACCCTTGAGATTTCATGGCCCGTACCCAACACGCCGTGAGCCAAGCGCTCATTCTGGTTCTACTGGGCTTCAGGTTGTCCATTGGGCTTTACAGGGTTTCGTAAGGGTTGTGATGTATGGTCTACAGGTCCCAATATCCTGAAAGCAGG